CTACGATGGGATCCTGGCCGCGAGCCCCGGCATCAACCTGCCCGAGATGTTCGCGTGGCTGTTCTGGCCGCCGGCGCTGATGCTGAACGCCTCAGCCCCGCCGCCCCCGCAGTGCGTGTTCGCCGCGTTCCAGCGGAGTATCATCAAGGCATGCGACGGGCTCGACGACGGGGCGGAGGACGGGTTGATCTCCGGCTGGGGCCACTGTCCCTTCGACGCGAGTGTGCTGGTGAACACCTCGATTCCCTGCACGGAGACCAACACGACCATACCAATCACTGAGCAGCATGTCATTCTCGTGCAGGCCATTCTGAACGGCCCCGTCGACCCAGCCACTGGCGACACCCTCTGGTACGGCCTCCCGCCCGGGGCATCCTTCCGCGGCACCGCCGATACCATCACCACTCCATTCCCGATCACCACCACCACCACCACCACCACCGACAGGTCTCACCCCGCAACAACACGAATCAACCCCTTTCTCCCCGCCGTCAGCTGGCTACGCAACTTCCTCCTCAAGAACCCCACCTACAACGTCTCCACCCTCACCATCGCCCAGTTCTTCGACGCGGTGCACGCCTCGCGCGAGCGGTTCGGTGATCTCCTGTCCAAAGAGCAGCTCGGGCTCGAGGGCTTCCAGCAGGCGGGCGGGAAGCTGCTGGCGTGGCACGGGCTGGCGGACGAGATCGTGCCGCTGGCGGGGACGGTCAAGTACCGGGAGACGGTGGGGGAGGCGTTTAGCGAGCAGAATATCGAGGTGGAGGACTTCTTTCGCTTGTTTCTGGCCCCCGGGGCCGGCCATTGTGGCGGCAATCTGGGCGTCGGGTATGGGCCGGTGCCCGTGGATGCGTTGGGGGCGCTGGTGCGCTGGGTTGAGGATGCGGTCGAGCCGGAGACGTTGTTTGCGGAGGTCAAGGGGGGTGGGAGGCGGGTTAGTCGCGAGTTGTGTTTGTGGCCGGGGGTGTTGCGGTGGGATGGGGAGGGGGGGTTGGATTTGGCAGGGAGTTTTGGGTGTGAGGAGTAGGTGAATGGTTGAGGGGAGGTGGTGCTAGGGGATTCTGGCGGGGTGGAGAGAGGGAGGTGTTGATATCAGGTGGTGGTCTGCGGGTTAGCGGAGGGTTGGGTGGGTGAGTGGCTGAGGAAGATGGGGAGTGCATCTGTTTCATGGAGATGTTCGGCTGGGGTTCTGTACCAAATCGCATATGCTTTTAGTTTGGATCTGGTGCTCCTCGAGGTTCAGAGATAGGGATAGGGATAGGGATAGGGATTGTGAGTGGTGGTAGATCGATGGGATTCATCGTTCCGTCTGTATCAGAAAGTGAATGCGGTGATCCTATCTTTCTCTATGGTCTACCTCGTTTCGTGCCTGTATTTGCCACATACATATTCTTCAATTCCTGAGTTGCACATGTTATGCACCACAGTCAGTCAGCCCGCGATGGATGTCTCTACATCACCCTAACTGTCTGGTTCACGAACAAAGGCATGATGATGCGAAAGACAACGAGGGCGAGGTCCAATGTACTGCACGCAGAGCACTAGACTCTGGCAGTTGGAACACCACAGCAAGCTATAAGATGCCTGGAGATAGTGTCTGACGTAGACCGCACTCCTGTCTTTGGGCAACATCTCCCGCAAAGCGTGTGCAAGGTCATTCCGGGGGTCTCCGGCTCCAGCTTACAGACGTTGGACAAAGAACGACCGCTGACAGGGTCCACAGCTGGAAGTTAAATGTATGCAAGCGGAAGCAAGACCGTCACAGTCCGCATGAATCATCTTTTAACTTCATTCCAGCGATGCTGACATATAAGCAGAAAGGTTTGCGGCGGGGCAGGAATGCTGATGCGGGGCAATCCGCACGCTAACCCGCAGACCCATGGATAACGAGATACGATATGCTCCTCCCGTCAGCTTACGCCAACCCATGGATGCATTGCAGCCACTTTCTCATCACTGCTATACTCAATCATCTCAGAGACTATATAGATATAAAGGTGGCAGCGATCGCCATTCGGTAACCCGTCGCTTGGATGGTATTTTGCACTCGCAAGCAAGTCTCAGCATGGATCCCGAACTCCCCACACTCTCGTTTGACCTTGTTATCGTCGGAGCAGGAGTTGCTGGTATTCTCTTTCCCAGATGATCAGTGACACTCTGGAGTAACTCAGTCACAGGGTGCGTCCTCGCGAGCCGCATCTCGCATGCACGCCCCCACCTCCGCATCCTCCTCCTCGAGGCCGGGGTCGACAAGGACGACCGCGTGCTCCCTACCCTGGGCATCATGGGGGGCTTCGACTCGACCCTCGAGTGGAACTACCGGTCGGTGCCCCAGGCCCGGGGGTTTGGAGGCAAGGTCGTTAACCTCACGTCCGGCAAGATTGTGGGCGGCGGCTCCGCGGTGAATTATCAGACCTTCACGCGCGGGCCGGCGGTTGATTAGTACATCCCCCTTCCCCCTCCCTCTACACAGTTCCCACGAATTGCATACTAACTCCAGGAACGGGGTAGTGACCAATGGGCAGAGCTTGTGCAGGACCCGCGGTGGTCGTGGAGCAGTCTGCTGCCGTACTTCAAGAAGTCGGAGACCTGGTTCCCCTCGGCGGATCTGCGGGAGCGAGGGCTTCCTACCGCCGATGCGCACGGGCAGGATGGTCCGATCAAGGTCTGTTCGTGACTATGTAGCAACTCGAATATATGCTGGATAATAATGCTGATCGACACCAGGTCAGCCATGCCACGAACAGCGGCAGGCCACGCAACTATCCCCTCCGCGAGAAGAGTCGACGGTTCCACGAGCTGCGCGGGTGCCAGCAGGCGCTGGATATCAACGGGGGTCACCCCGAGGGATACGCGGAGGCGTTCAACTCCACCTACGAGGGGCTGAGAAGCTATGCTGCCGGCTATGTACTCGGGGCGAACGTTACGCTCTGGACCCAGTCTCTGGTGGAGAAGGTGGTCGTGGATGGGGGCGCTGCGAAAGGAGTGGTCGTCCTGCGGTCTGTGGGTGATGCGCAGGAGCGCTTCTACGTCGAGGCAAGCAAAGAAGTCATTCTATCTGCGGGCGCGCAGAGCTCGCCTAAGATCCTGCTTCTGAGGTGGGGCCACTCTCACTTATCCTGTGTCAAGGCCATGAGGTAGCATAAGGTACCAGTTAGGGCATGCTAACGGGATGTACTGTACGTGTAGCGGTATCGGCCCGGCCGCGGAGCTGGCAGCGCACCAGATCCGGCCGGTTGTCGACCTCCCTGTCGGACGCAACTACGCCGACCACCCCGCCATCTTCACCTACTGGGCCATCGACCTCCCGAACGCGGTCCTGGGCGATGGCGAAATGCAGGGGCCCGACCTCGACTGGACCGCCGGGCTGCCCTACGACTGGATCTCCTTTGCGCCTGCGGACCGGGCCACCCGCGAGCTGGCCAGACATACCCTCCCTGCGGACCAATACAAGCGCTACTCAGCTGAGGGCAAGCTGCAGGTCGAGGCGTTCACGGTGTGAGCTCCCTCCTTCAAGTCACCTTACCCCAGCAGTTACTGACAGTAAGCGAATAGCTACACCTCCGTGGACACATGCACCCGCACCCCCCTCGCACGCGGCTGGCCCGGCAAACGCGTCTTCAGCATCGCCCACATCCTCGTGGATCCGATCTCGCGTGGCACCGTCGCCCTGCGCTCCGCCGACCCGGCTGACCCGCCCATCCTGGACCCCAACCTGCTCGCCTCGCCCGTCGACCGCTCGGCGCTGTACGATTGCGTGCGGAGCTGTGCGCGCGCGATCCAGGAGGTCGAGGGGCTGAATGCCGTGGAATGGGGGGTCGCGGACGCCCTCCGCGGGGATTGGTCGGATGATGCGATTGAGAGTCGCGCACGGAAGATGGGATCGGGCACCGTCTTCCATCCGTCGGGGACTTGCGCGATGGGGCAGGTGGTGGATGGGGATTGCAGGGTGTTGGGGGTCGAGGGGCTGCGGGTGGTTGATGCGGGTGTCATCCCTATTCCGCTGGCGGCGCATTATCAGGCGCCTATGTATGGGGTTGCGGAGCAGGTAGGTTACTTTATCTTGGTGTCGTGGTGATGATGACTGACTGGTGCTAGGCTGCTGAGCTGATTCTGGGGGTTGTGTGAGGGGTATGCGGTCCGGTAGAGGCGAAAATAGGTAGAGAGGTGTAGGATCAATTGAATGCATATATGGTAGATCTAAGAAATCACGCAGTGAATTGAATGAATAACCGGTCGCATCTGGTGTGTTTCACCGCGGAAGGAAGGTGGAAAAAGCAAAGGAAGAAAAACAAAGGCAAAAACAAACGACCGAGACGCGACTCGAACGCGCAACCACTGCCACATCCTCAACCGGAAGGCAGCGCGCTACCATTGCGCCACCCGGCCATTGTTGAAGACTGTCGTCACTACTGCGTAACATACACTACCAAAAACATTACATGCAGCGATAAATCTACCTCAGCCTATCTACTCAGACAGTCCTCAAACTCGCGCAGTGATGGTTTCTTGAGATGTTGATTCGGTGATCTTACATTATCTTTGTACTTCTATGGCGCTTACTTTCCGTATTCAGGCTGAATTGCCCGACCCACATGGAGGATCTCATCCTATTGAAAGTTGTGACAACCGCATGGAGCACAACGGCGCGGGAATATATTTCCAATGACGACCCACAACATAAAAGGCCACAACGGATGACGGTGGTGGCTTCCTCCCAAATCAGCCTTAATCAAAAGACCAGACAATCCAAGCGACAGAGACAAGTACAGCAAATCAGACGTCTAACCTCGAACCCGAGAATACAACCTGACCAACTCCGGTGGAGACCATTCTCTCCAGATTCCCCAGAAACAGTGGGGAACCGCCACTCTTTCTGGCAAGTATCGTCACTTTCCCCCCAAGCCCTTCACGAAATCTTCCGATCCGATTCGACTGCAGCCAACGGCCTCTCACCCTGCCCAAATCGCTCGGCCTGTTTGCCGACGGGTCCACCGTCTATACCCGCGCTGACCTTGGCTGCAGGCTGCGATGACGGTGTGGTTGCAGGTGAGGAAAGTCATCCGAGCAGAGATTCAACTTGAATGCTACTTTTCCCCCGGAATAGGGCTCTTGACGAGCCATTCTTCTCTGCCCGCTTTAGACAATGCCCTTCAAACGCCAGTTGAGTCTTGACTGACCCATCGAGCAAGCCATGTCGGCAATGTTTCGTCCCACACGAGTTTTAAGACCTGAAATCCCGCCGACATGAAGCTATAAAATGCCGGACAACCCTCGAGTCAAGGTTGAAGAACAAACCAAGGCCACAACATGACGCGCTCTCATCTCGGCGCATTGGGCGTCCTTGCGGCCTCCTTGTCTCTGGGACAAGCTCGCTCCACCTGGTCTTTGGGGAATGGATTCGAACTCGCCTGGCAGCCCGACCTGCACCAGGTGTCCATCCTCCAACACAACCAGACCGTCCTCAGCACCGTGCCCGGGCAAAGCTTTCTCAGTGCTAGTGCCGGGCAAGATCAGATTGTCGACTCGAGTGGGAATTTCAAGATCACCAGTGTTGACCAGGGCCGCTGCCAGGGCCAGAACATCACCGATGTCGCGCGGTCGACTCGATCAGACAGTCTGGGCCACGGAGTGACGGTGCAAGGCTACCTGCTCAACTGCAGCAACCAAGACATCGCATACTCGAGCAGCTTCTGGGTTCCAGCTAATCTGTCCGATCGGGTCGCCTTCGAGGCGACCGTGGATGCAGGCCGCGATGCCAGCGCGCCGATGGAGCGACTCTACCTCACCTTCAACTCACACCCCTCAGAGGACTTCTATGGCCTGGGAGCCCAGGCCTCCTTTGCCTCGATGAAGAACCAGACCATCCCAATTTTCTCCCGTGAGCAGGGGGTCGGCCGTGGCGACCAGCCCTACACGGCCATCGAGGATTCGCAGAGTTTCTTCAGCGGAGGCGACCGCTACACCACCTACACTGCGATTCCGCAGTACATCAGCTCCGACGGCCACGTCTTCTACCTGTTGGAAGACGACAGCGCGTATGCAGCCTTTGACTTTCGCGATCCCGACAGCGTCACGGTCCGCTACGACGCGCTCACCGTGCATGGACACTTCATGAAGGCGAACAGCATGCTGGAGGGCATTACCATGCTCACCGAGTACACGGGACGGATGCCCTCGTTACCCGAATGGGTGGACCAGGGCGCTGTCCTGGGCATCCAAGGCGGCCAGGACAAGGTGAACCGCATCGTCGAACAAGGGCTCCAGCACGACTGCCCCGTCGCGGCGGTCTGGCTGCAAGACTGGTAAGTCTACCTCGCGAGCCCATATAACCATTCCACCCATCCACTAACAACACAACCTTCATCCCAGGTCCGGCACGCACCTCCAAGCCGCGCCCTACGGCCATATCAACATCTCGCGCCTGTGGTGGAACTGGGAACCAGACACGAGTCTGTACCCGACGTGGAGCGAGTTCGTGCAGGACCTGCGCAGCGAGCACAACGTGCGCACCCTCGCCTACGTCAATCCCTTCCTGGCCAACGTGAGCAGCAAATCCGACGGCTACCGCCGCAACCTCTTCCTCGAAGCCACCCAGCACCACTACACCGTGCAAAACACGACGACCAACACGACGGCCATCATCTCCAGCGGCAAGGGCATTGACGCGGGCATCCTAGACCTGACCAATCCGGCCACGCGGCAGTGGTTCGCCGCCGTGCTGCGCGACCAGGTCTGGAGCGCCAACATCTCCGGCTGCATGTGGGACTTCGGCGAGTACACGCCGATCACGTCCGACACGCGCCTCGCCCATCTGGCCCCCGGCGAGGACGCATTCCGCTACCACAACCGCTACCCGCGCGACTGGGCGGCCTTCCAGCGCGCTGTGGCGGCCACCACGCCCCTCGCCGCGGAGATGGTCACCTTCCACCGCTCCGCCTCCATGGGCGCCAACCGCCACATGAACCTCTTCTGGGCGGGCGATCAGGCCATCACCTGGACTGTCAACGACGGGATCAAGTCCGCCGTCACGATCATGGGCCAGATGGGCATCTCGGGCTACGCGCACAGCCACTCGGATATCGGCGGGTACACCACCATCTTCGAGCCCCCGCACGTATCCAACTCCTCCGGTGCGATCTCCCGGTCCCCGGAGCTGCTGGGCCGATGGGGCGAACTCGCCGCCGTCAGCAGCGCGTTCTTCCGGTCCCACGAGGGCAACGTCCCCCAGGTCAACGCGCAGTTCTACAGCAATGCCTCCACCTACAAGTATTTCGCGTACAACGCAAGGATGTTCAAGGCTTTGGGTCCCTACCGGAGACACGTGCTGCGGACAGAGTCCGAGACGAAGGGGTGGCCGCTGCTGAGGATGCCGGTGCTGTATCACCCGGAGGATGCGCGGGCGCGGCAGATCAGCTACGAGAGTTTCTTTTTGGGGAGGGATCTGTATGTGGCGCCCGTGCTGGATGAGGGGCAGCGCAAGGTGGAGGTGTATTTGCCTGGAGGGGAGGCCCGTCGCTCGTATCTGCATGTGTGGTCTGGGGCCCGGTATCGGGCGGGCCAGACGGTGACGGTGCAGGCGCCGTTGGGCAAGCCGGCGGTGTTTGTGGTCGATGGGGCCAGTAGTCCCGAGTTGGATGTGTTTTGGGAGTTTGTGAGGAGGGAGAATGAGACGGTGCTGGGGGTTTAATTAGGTTGCGTTGCTGGAGAGGGAGATGCTGTACTGTTTTATAGGTAGATGGGGGGGTGATCTGGACTGAGTGGTCGCATTGGAGTGTAAGTTAGGCATGTTAGGGCTTTCTTCACCGCTGCCCATTTATCGGTATAAGAGTCTCTGCACCACAATGGATGGGGGATTAAGCTTTCTTATTCCTATTCTTTGACTTAATTTCCATACTTCAACAGTTCTTTCTATTATTTTGCAAGTATAGCAATCACCTCATTGAGTAGGGACTCTCATTGTTGGATGTATTATGGAAGTCACTTCCGGCTATTCCACCTAAGACGTCATCACTCATAGGTTAACACATAACATAGAGGTTAGGCCTACTTATAACTCAAGCGGAAGAAGTAAACATAGAACAAATGCTACCACGGCCTGGAATCCTTTTGACTACCGCTGAGCAGGAGTAAGGTCGCATACAATGGGCTCACTCGCCATGGAGGCAGAGGGTGGGGGTCACTGGGGTGTATCCTGTTCTAGACCCCCGACGAACGCTGCAATGCGGTCATAGTGCTGGGCCATCGCATGGCACTGGGTATCTGGGGACTCTGTAACCAATCAGTCCTGCTCAACAGCATGTTGGATCTATCAACAAATGTCCCGCTAAGTCAATCCGTCCAATTAGAGGCGGCCACATACAAAAGCCAGACTAGTAAGTTAATCGATACGATACTAGCTCCAAACACATCATATCGGCTCTATCTAAAGCCAGTCTCGTAGCGAAGACGTTCTCTAGACTACTCCAGTACAAACTAGTTCAGTACCCAGAACCTTGCCGGGTTGACTAGGATAATGTGGGTAAAACCCGCGACGCTAACCCCACATCTTGTTATTAGTGAAACCAATGCTCCGAATTCCTGGTCCCATCTATCTTACTAAGAAAGGTTTGCTCTGCTGGCCCAAATGATGCCCCCCGACCAGCCCGATGAGACATGGATCGACGTAGATGACTCTCACCAGGAGGACTACCCCAGCGACAGCCACTCCTTCACCACCTCTATCGCCTCCTCCGTTCAAGACTACAGTTTCGAGAACGGCCGCCGATACCATGCTTACCGAGAAGGCGAATACCCCTTTCCCAACGATGAAGCCGAGCAGGATCGCCTCGACATGGTGCACTACATCTTCCGCATGGCCTTGCAGGGGAAGCTCTACCAAGCACCGTTGCGCGGACCCGTCCGCCGCATCCTCGACCTCGGCACGGGCACGGGGATCTGGGCTATCGAGAGCGCAGACGAGATGCCGCAGGCCCGCGTGCTGGGGAATGATCTGAGTCCGATCCAACCTACCTGGTTCGCTGCCGACGCCGCCGCACTGCTAGAATCCTTGTGTATTTGTGTATTAACTGGGCCCATGTGCCCTTCATATCCAGTGTCCCCCCCAACTTAGACTTCATCATCGACGACATCGAAGCCCCCTGGCCCTACTCCCCCGCCGAGGCGTTCGACTTCATTCACCAGCGCAACATGGTTGGCTCCATCGCCGACTGGAACGGTCTCTTCGCCCAGGCGCACCAGCATCTCGTGCCCGGCGGATACTACGAGATCCAAGAGTTCCGGGTGGACTTCCAGTCCCAGGCGCGACGCGGGCCCACTCTGCCCGAGAGCTCCAGCATCGCGCGGTGGCAGCGGTCCCTTCAAGAGGCGTCGAGCCGCTTCGGCAAGCCCATCAACGTCGTGCACACGCTGGCCGACACGCTGCGCCGCAACGCCTTCGTCGACGTCACCGAGGAGGTCATCAAGATCCCCATCGGCGCGTGGGCCCGCGACCCCAAGCTCAAGCGGCTCGGGGTGCTCATGCAGGGCCATGCGATCGACTCGGTCGAGCCCCTGACCATGGCGCTTTTTACAAGGGTGCTGGGCTGGTCGGAGGCCGAGTGTCGTGCGCTGATCGCCGAGGTGCAGGCGGAGTTCTCGGCCAGTCCGGAGCGGCAGCAGTTGTTTGTCGAGTTGCATGTTATTCATGGGCGGACGCCGTGCTCGGGGGTGTGATGCGGATACTTTGCTGAAGTGCAGTTGTGTGGCGACGGTCCTGTCGAGGGTGGTATCACCCTGGTTTGGGACGCATGGTGATTTAGCCTGTTGTCGATATCCCAGACAATGCAGGGCCTACAGGCTGATTTCGCGCGGGGGTGAAGCGGGGTGATTGCTGCAGGTGCCTTCTTGGCATGGCTATACGTGTATGGAATTGGTTCTCCGCATTGATCAGCAATTGTCCATGGGAGTCGTTGCAACACCCTACCTAATAGACTAGCTGTTGGCAGTCATACACCCCGGGCTGTACCCTCGCTCCCTGCCCCGCCAACTGGCAACCCCGCATCCCCAGTCAACCATATATACAGTACATACAAGACCTCAAGCATCAACAAACAGCCCAGCATCAATCTCCTGCGCCACCGGCACATACGTCCAATCACTCCAATACGAAGGCGTCTCCCCAGGCGCCCCATTGCCCGTCGCGTACACCCCCAACAGCGTCCCTAGACAACAATTAGCCCAACCTCAACCCCCACAACAAATCCCATCGCATCACCAGAGACAAGTAACAACTCACCCGTAAACGGCCCACTTCCCCCACTGAGAATCTCCGCACTCGCCCTGCCCAGCACGATCTCGCTTCCCAAACTCCCCACCAGCGCCGCGGACAGCACATACCCAGCATCGTCCGGCGCGCGCACCCGCAGCACAATCCCCCGACCGTACCATGCGACCGGAACCGCAGCGATGACCGTCGCAGGAGCAACCAGATCCGGCCGGCCGGACGCTTCCACCCTGAATCGGAAATGTGGGGCCAGCTTCCCGTGGGGATTACGCAGAAGCACCACGCCCAGATCGACGTGTTGGGCTTGGGTCAGAAAGATGGATATTCCAGCTTCTTCTGCCTCGACGCTGGGGTGGAAGTGAAGCGTCACCGCGTACTCGAAGAGCGTGCTCGTTTGTATGCGGCCGAGGAAGGCTAGTTCGTCTTTTCCGGGGTGAAATGATGCGTTACCGGTTAGATTCGCCCACGACGGGGTGATACGCAGCGAGTGCGAATGGCCTGGTGGAGAGATTGTGAACAGCGATTGGGCCTGAATCTGGGGCCGCCACGTCTGTAAGGTCGGGGGGAGGACGGACCCCGGCGCGAAGTCCAGTTTCTCGCTCTCGTCCACCAAGGGACCCTGGCCTTGCACGGCTCGTGAGGGAGGAGGTAGCGGTCCGCGCATCGCGCCCCGTACCGGTTGGAGCTGCGGCCAGGCGTCCTTCTTCCACTGCGCGGGGTAGAGTACCGTCTCGCGACCCATGGGGTAGATCTCCCACCCGGGTCCGGATCGCGTGGCCAGTGCCACCCCCCACCAGTTCCCAGTTTTGTCCTGGAAGAGGTCCGCGTGGCCGACGGTCTGGAAGTACTCGGTGGTGTTCCTGTTGGTGAGGATCGGGTTGGCGGGACAGGGCTCATACGGTCCCGTGACGTTCTTGGACCGCGCGATGGAGACTTGGTGGCTCGTGCCGGTGCCGCCCTCGGCGATGAGCAGGTAGTACCATCCGTCCTTGCGGTAGAGGTGGGGTCCCTCGGGCCAGTTGTTCTCCGTGCCGTTCCAGAGGTAGGTCCAGGACGTGGCCGTCCAGTCGGGGAGGGTGACGGGGGACTGGAAGATGAGCGGCGTGGTGGAGTGGTTGTACCCCGCGATGGTGAGGTAGAGTCGGTCGTTGTCGGCGGCGTCCCAGAACAGATCCGGGTCGTAGCCGGAGAGGGGCGTGGTGATGGTGATCGGGTCACTCCAGGCCGCGTCTGTGTAGGGGTCCGTGGTGGTGAACACGAGGAATTCGCTGCCGTTGGGCGCGGCGGCCGAGACTAGCGCTGTGGTTAGGTATAGCGTGCTTTTGTGGAAGCGCAGCGTCGAGGCGTAGATCCCCTCGGACTGGCCAGTGGCGTTGAGTAGGAATGGGGCCTGGGACGGGCGGGACAGTGCGTGGCTGACCAGCTTCCAGTGGATGAGGTCCTTGCTGGCGTAGATGGGGATTCCCGGGAAGGCGAGGAAGGTCGAGGTCGTGCAGAAGAAGGTCTCATCCCAGGCGGCGATGAAGGCGCAGCTCGGGTCGGAATGCCATCCTGGGAGGATCGGGTTGGTGTAGTTGGTATGGCGGGTTGCGGCGACGAGGTGGAGGAGTAGCGCATTCACTAAATACATTAGAAACTGCATCCTGTTGGTCGGGGGTCTGAGATGGTCGAGGTTGGTAATGTAGTAGAGCTGGCTGGGCTGTTTAAGTATCTACTGATTTAGCCTGAACTCGTGCATGTTGGCAGGGATTGACAAGTAGACATGACACACTGTGACGATCGCTGAGGACGATTTAGGCTTAATTTGGAGAGGTTTGAAGGATAGAAGACTGTCGAGATTACTACATAGAACATGCGCCGGACATCCATGATCTGTCGCAGACTTACCTCACCTAACCCTAATCCAGCTCTTTTCCCTTGCCCCGATCTCACTGGGGAATTCTGACCACAGCCCTCCCCGTAATGACATCTTCCTCGAGATCTCGGATTAGCTTCGCTGTCTCATCGAACCCATAACACTTCACCGCAGGCGTGATCACCCCCTGAGCAGCCAGCTGCAACAGCTCCGCCATTTGCTCCTCCGTCCCCACCGAGCTGCCAACAATGGAGATCCCTACCAGCACAGATCAGCCTCCTGGTCCGAGTACCACCATACTGCCGCCAAAGGAAGAAACATACCTCTAGCCGCACACAGCGTCGCCGAAACCGGCAACTCGAAATCATTCCTCGGCAGCCCGACACACACCACCGTCCCCCGATTCCTGACCAAGTCCGCCGCCACCCTGAACGCGGACGGATCCCCTGGAACGACCACCGTGGCATGCGCCCCTTCCCCGTCCGTCAGCTCCCGCACGCGCGCCACCACATCCTCAGCCCGGAAATCCACAAACTCCGTCGCACCAGCCTCCATACTCACCCGTCTCTTCTCCTCCCCAGAGTCCACCGCAAGGACCCTCCACCCCTTCACCCGGGTCGCAATCTGCACCCCCAGATGGCCCAGCCCGCCCCCGGATCCCGAAATCACCACCGAATCCCCAGGCCGCAGCACGCCGTCCAGCCGGTCCAACGCCCCGGCCATCGTCAGCCCCGCGCACAGCAACGGGGCGGCGATCTCGTCGGCCACAGTCTCTGGAATGGGGGTCAGGAACCGTGCGTCAGCGAGGACGTACTGCTGCAGCGTGCCGGGGACGTGGCGGCTGGTGTTGCGCTGGTGCGGACAGTAGTGCGGGTGGCCGGACGTGCAGACGGAGCAGTGCGTGCAGGCGCTGTAGAGCCATTTCACCCCGACCCGGGAGGAGAGTAAGGACTGCGGGGCGAGGGATCCGGCTTGGATGACGGTGCCGATGCCCTCGTGGCCGATGATGGGGTTGTAGTTGCTCCAGCCGGAGGTGGCGCGGATTTCAGAGTGACTGGATAGCCGTCAGGATCCGGGGGTGTTTTATGTTCAGCTGAATAGGGGGCGAGGTGTGGAGGGGAGGAGTAGATGGAGGAAACTTACCACAGACCGGTGCATGTCAGCTTGACGAGGACTTCGTGGTCCCCTGGTTGGGGAACGGGGAGGTCATCGCGGTGGATGATCTGGTAGCTCGGACCCGGGTTGTTGACTACGGCGCCCTGCTGGGTGGTGGGGATTGATACTGTCATTCTAAGTATTGTTCAAGGAGTCTTTCACTCAAGAAATGTGACAGATGCAAGAGTTCAACTTATACGCTGTGAGGGGTGATGATGGCGGCGACCCCGCGAGGAAATGCGGCTGCCAAGGATGCCGATTCTCACTCCCGAGAATCATTCCATAACCGGAGGTTGCCGAAACTTTATCGGGGGGATGATATCAGAGGTATGACCACGAGTCATTCACTACTGCGAAGAGTTGTCACTATACCGAGATATGGGAGTAGATAGTCGATGCTGGTGAGTATAAATTGACTACCAATCGTTGAGATACGGGGATATAAGGTCTTGATGCCCGATTGACAAGGCATCCACGCAAATAAGCATAGCGTCTGCTACATACGAGAAGTGTATGCGAAGCTCCACGAATGACAAGCCCCTATCCGCAGGCCGAATTGGCCACCATCCGTACTGATTTATGTACAGATACGCAAAGAAGGTAGCATTTGCAGGCCCTTTCTCCCAATCTTTTCAGCTATGCCAGCGCGACCGGAGGGTCAGAGCCGCCCGAGCAGATCTCTGACGCCCGTGGAGGCGAAGTTCGGGTGTGACTTCTTTCTATATGACTTCGTCAGCGATCGCGCCCGCGCAATAGTAAGCGTAGCATGAATAGCACTGACCATAGTTGACGGAAAATCATTTTTACTAATCTATCCGATTATGCGAGATGGGTAGTGGCCATAACGCCTGGCTCAATTTCCCAGGCTGGAAGTCCATCTTACTGCTTTTGTTGGTCGAGCGAGGTCATTTTCATCGCTAGAGTTGGGTCGGCCTACAACTCGGAAAGGTTCGTTCTTGGAGCTTCGATCTTCTAGCGACTATATCAGGGGACGAATGGGAACTGGAACAAGCCAAGGACATTTGGGTTGTTGAGTATCACTGTTAGAATATTGATGGAGAGGAAACCAGCTATTTTGATGATGAAGGTGGCGATAAGAGATTCAGGTCGAGCCATTGAGGAGCGAAGAATGGAAAGAAGAGTGGGAAGGATAAGACCGGCAGGGAAATGTGTGGCTCTTATGAGAGGGAGAAATAATAGATGAGTATAATACAAGCTACTATATTCAAATTTCGAGAATTGTTCACCATTCACAAGAAGATTTTCACTACTAAGAATTCAGGCAGTGTGAATACTTCGATTATTCACAGAGCTGGGCATATCCGCTCCCTAGATATTGGCCCACACCTGAAGGTCAGTGAGCATATAAAACTACGCGATACTCTTGACATATACCATATTGTAACCGGCCCCTGCTCATTCGGAGAATCCCCGCGTCCGCAACTTCATCTACTTCTGGATGCAGCGGGCGCGCGCCGACTCGATCCCGCCCGTCCGCCTGTACGGGATCATCATCTGCGGCGACCGGGTGCGGCTGTACACCGAATTTCCCTGGGGCCACGAGCACCAGTACCAGGGACGTGAGGTGTTCTCCACACACAGGGACGAGGTGGTGTTCCGCGAGTTTATGGACGTGGTGCAGGCACTGCGGTACGAGGACATGGGGCAGGGGCAGGTGGATCGGGCGTCGCAAAGATCCGGAGGGGGGGAGCTGCCACCCCCGGAGGAACGGGCGACGCCGGCGAATCGAGGGCCCTGAACGGTTCATCACACCTCGGACCCGCAGAAGGCGGACGGAGATCAGATCACGAATGTGACGTTAAGAGATTTGGATCATGCCCCTGTGGTGTGGAAGGTGAATGTTACTGACAGGGGGTAGGTGATGTGGGGCCCTAAGTGTGGTAGACGCTGAGTAGATATGCAGGGGCTCCGATGGGCTAGAGTATAATACAAAGAAATCAGATCTCGATTGACGGAGGTGCTTCTCTGTCTTCTTTGTTTGTTGCCCAGTACTATCTCGTTGTTGTTGTTGTACCTTCGTTAGTATTTTTGTCAGTAAATTAGTCAATCCTCCTTGTTTGCTATCGCAAAGCGCCCAACCTGGCCACGGCCGTTAGGGTCTCCGCTTTCATTGCCCTCTCCCAGTATCAATCCAAGTGAATCCATCTTTTCCCCTTCTAGAATCCGGCATAGGCTCAAGTTCCTCAAGGTCTAAACAGCAGCAACAAGCTCAATCTCAACCTCTGCATCTAACGGAAGACTCGCCACGCCCACACACGTACGGCACTACGACCCCCGATTGTTAACAGCAAGCCCACGCAGCAACCAGACCACAGCAATGAAATCGAGAGGAAAATCTCACCGGCTTGACATCATACCCCCCAAAGACCCTTGAATACCCTTCGTTCACTTTGGCATAATGAGTCATACTGGAGATGAAGATCGTGACCTTGACGACTTTGCTCAGGTCGCTCCCGCCGGCGATGAGAACCTGTTCCAGATTGCGCAAAGCTCGGACCTGCGTTGCGGCATGCATTAGACCAATGATCAAGTCACGGCACCAGACAGCACGTACGGTTCGGTCAGCCACATCGCCTGGGACGAAGGTGTTGGTCTTGGGGTCAATGCCTAGACTGCCGGAGCAATAGAGCATGCCGTTGGAGATGATGCCTTGCGACATCAACGGGCTCGGGGCAGGAGCGTGTTGGCTCAGGACGGGGATTTTGGTGGGGGACATGGTGAGGTGTCGGTGTGATCGATTGAGGTCAGAGTTGAGGACTATTAGAGGATAGACGCTCAGTTGAGACCCGCTGAGGCTATTATTTATGTGGAATGCACGCGGGGTTTTGGCGTGGGATGAGTTTCTTCTTGCTGGATGGATAGCGGACTGATGAGGCAAGCCATCCCGGTGGAGGGCAGGCCAGCCCTATCCTAGTCCTATTCGCTGTCCTAGCAGGTGACACACGCATCCTTTCCAGCTTGTGATATATTTAGCATTGTCGGAAGCCATGTCTAAGGCTCGTTTGGGGCTTCCTGCGAACTGATATCGGATCCATGAGGTGCTTCGACTGGGAATGACAACTGGCGGGCTGCGACCGGCGAGATTCTTCAACATTTGCAGGAGTGGGGCGGCATAGGATGGTACTGTCCTGTAGATATGTTGATAACACCCACAATGGGTACAGTGGGACCATCATATATCAAGTCTACCTCTCCACGTACTGATCAATAGAAGGGGCTGCTATCAATGTGGTTGCAGACACACCATGGGCCGGTCGCACGGGGGCCGGGCCTTTAGGAAGGGCATGGCAAGACTTTCCCGCATAACCGCTGTCAGCTTCACTTCATCCTCATTGACAGTGGGGTAGGCAGGCATATTCCTTCTCTTGCCAAGACCATCTGGTCTTGAAGGCTTGAGTATTTGAGACTCGCAAATCATCATACTCCCAGAAGCTACATTATGCGACCGATGCATTTGCTCTAAGCCAACGCAGCGCAACCTGAAAGCGCAATTTCCTAAAGACAGTTTGGCTTCATGGCACCAAAAGGCCAGCAGTAGAAGATCCAAGGCATCACAGAGTTAAGCAACATTTTGGGAGAAGTCCCCGCAAGATTGCGATCGACGAGTGACGATCTTACACTGGCCGCTGTCGTCTGTCCAGCCAACCCTCGAACGATCAATTTCGCTTACCTTACAATGTATGATTCTATAATCTCATTGCTCGTGATAAGGCCGTGACTTTCGTATTCGAAACGAAGGGATCTCGGACTTGAGCATATGACTCGCTTGGATAGTGTGGTCGGGGCCAACCGGGCCTTGACTGTAGAGTAGTTGAAGCGTAGGCTCCTTTGCAGTCTGATTAGGGTTAATTTAGAATGGAGTACCCTGGCTGCAAAAGCTCTCATCCGTGAAGGACCGACCTCCGTCTTGCACTGACTAGCCCGGGCGCCGATGCATCATAATCTCATTCTCCCGATAGTCAATCGAACCTGCGTTGGATTACAAATCAAATCATTCATGTTATCGCCAAGTTGTGCCTGCAATCCCGACGGCCGATGGTGATAGCCAGGCTAGCCTCCGACGGCTCAGGACGGTTGGCACTCGGAGGCAGTGTCCTTCTTCGACCGTATCAGGACCATTCGCACTCGGGCATAAGTGTTCTAAAGCCGACTTGGATTCGCCCGAAGTCTGGGGGATTTGCGTCACTACGCAGACAGACCGAGCATCTTGACTTAGACGTATTGAGGAGTCATGAGATGGGGGAGTGCGTGGACATGGAGAAGATGTCATCACCACCGCGGGATGATCTCTAGGCAACCACCAGTCGCGGACATGGGATTGGAAGAAGGACCCTCGGGGCTGGAGGAAAGGTGTTTTGTCTTGTAACTGGGTAGGCCCAGTGACAGTGAATGGACGGAAACCGGGCCGAGGTCGGATTCCAAGTTCTGGACAGTGACTGGCCTTTCTTGACTGCGTGGGGCCGATTAACTTATACTATGCAAGTTAGTGTATGTTGTATGTCGGAGGTCGGAGCTGTCTGCCTCTTCCATCACCGATCCTCCCGCTATCTCTTGAGTCTTTGAAGTTCGAACAGTCTTCGACCCTGAAACCCGACGGTTTCCCGCAAACGGGCTCCCACCGAGGCGGGTCGGAGCGCAAATCCCTTCCTTTCTAGTGGACTAGTGGGCTTGGGCCAGCCAGGTCCCTACCATATTTTCACTTCTTGGTCTGTATCGTGCCCATTATTCTGGTGTTATCTGATCTTGCCCCGGTTTGCCCAGCCTTGAAAGTGGACCATTCGGGGTGAAGAGGGAAGAAAAGAGAAGAAAAGAAAATGAAAATGAAACCAAAAGGCAAAAGAGGGAGAGAAACGTCATCACTCTGTGACTGGCGGTGAAGTCATTCATATCTCTGACAGCCTGACGTTTGAGACACCGGATACACATGACGATACTGCTAGCCAAGCCTCGCTTCGAGTGCTTCTCTCGCACTCTCTGCTGATTTCGGACATGTGTTAGCATTAAGCGATTCCACGACGGCAATGCCAGATTGCCCATTGATTAATACGAGCTGTTATCGTGACTGCCCAAGGGCCAGCCAAGAAGGCCGATGCCCTGCCAAGTCGGAGATAGAAGGACGATCGTCATCCGCAACACACAAATCAAGAAATCCTGCCCCGGATGCTTGTCGATCTTGATCTGTGACAGTGGAGAGAACGTCGGGGGTCGGAGGGAAACCTTTCATGCCAAGCATGCACGTTCACCATCGCCGTCGTGCACTGGCGGATGAATCCTAATCCTGCAATTCGAATTCGTGGGCTATGATGGGCTGCCTCCTCGCTTAATGAGATGGGCTACGTCGTCAGCTCGAGCAGAAAAATTATTTGATGCCGCTCCGAGACACCTCCTTCTCGACGGCCACCGCTATATAAGGAGCGGGCCGTCTTCTCCTGGATACTGACGATCTCTGCAAGTAACCTGTTCCCCCTCTCCCTCTTCTCACTGAAAGGACAAAATGCGCCTTCCCAGTGCCGTTGCATTGACAGCCCTGGTGGCCGGGTCAGCCGCCGCCTCTGGTTGTCCCTATGCAGCACGCGCCAACAATGAGGCTGCTGCTGCTCCTGTTGGATGCCCCTATGCCAGACGTGCGGCTGCGGCTGCGGCTGCGGCTCAAGTCAAGGAGACTTCTGTCGAGACTCAGAGTGCAGCCATTGAGGGCAAGAAGGGTATATTCTACAGTAAGTGCTGCTGACAGTTCATCCTTCTGGTGGACCGAGCCACGCCGCTAATGCAACCTACCAGTGAACCGTATCGGACCTTCGGGCTCGCAGCTCTGGATCGCCAATGCGGACGGTACCAACGCAACCAAGCTTCTGGGCAACCAGACACATGCCTTCGACTACCACCCATCTTGGTCCCAGGATGGTCAATGGATTGTCTTCACCAGCGAGCGTCGCGGAGCGGGTCAGTCGGACTTGTACCGGGTGCACCCTGATGGCACTGGACTCGAAGCCCTTGTGACGACGGACAGTGCTGAAGACATTGGTGTTCTATCACCCAATGGCAAACAGCTGGCCTATGTCTCGACGCAGGGCAACTACACCATGAACGTCTGGGTCAAAGATCTCAAGACGGGCATTGCGCAGAACCTGACCGATACCGCTCTGACGCGTGCGGATAACACGTACCCCACTGGTCACTTCCGGCCCTCGTGGTCCCCCAACAGCGAGTGGCTGGTCTTCAGCTCGGACCGCAACACTGACTGGACCGGCCACAGCGAGGGTGTGGGATGGGAACACACCCAGAGCCTAGGCCTGTATGTGATCCGGCCTGACGGTACCGGCCTGCGGACGCTGGTGCGCCAGGATGGCTACTCCTTCGGTACTCCCCAGTGGTCGCGCGATGGAAAGCGCATCATCTACAACAACATGACCCGTGAGGATACATACGGCTCGCACGGTGTCTCCCAGCAGCAAGCCGCCGTTTCCGCTCAAATCTACAGCGTGGACTTTGCCACGGGCACTGATATTCAGGCCCACACCTCGGGCAGCTACCCCAAGGTCGGCCAGCACTACATCGGCAGTTCCTCCAACATTGGATACCTGGTCAAGGCCGGGCCCTATGAGGGGATCAACTACACGACCCCCGACAAGACTCACAAGGCGTTCAACTCGACTAACATCCGCGATCCCTGGTGGTCTCCCGACGGATCCAAGATTGTATACCAAACCTGGAACTGGGCCCAGCAGGCTGCCGGTC